CAAAGCCTTTCCAAAACGTAATAAGATTGTGGTATCCGTAATCAGCATGTCGAATAATTCATTAAACCAAGGAGCAAAATCTACGGCTCCAGTTCTGAAGAGCGGATACTGGGGTAGTGCGCAAAACCGACTCGGTTTTGGGTTATAAGTGGCTATTGACGATGCCGACACATATAAAGGCATCTCAGCTTTACTGACGCAGGAAGAATAGCTATCATCTTTCAAGTTATAACTATTTTCAGTGAGAACCGATTCTTCGGTTACGATTCCGAGTCCAAGAAGTACGATGCTGAAGCCCATCGCGACCGCATCTTCGGCAAACACGTTGCAGAGTACATGCGCTCACTGAAGGAAGAAGATGAGGATGCCTACAAGCGACAGTTCTCTCACTTCATTGCCCAAGGCATCACTGCCGACAATCTGGAAGAGGTCAGATTCCTAACTGTGCTTTTCGAATGACCTGAATGTATCTATACTTCTTGATCCAGATGTACAAGAACGGTCATGCTGCCATTCGTGAGAATCCCGATAGACGAACACAGCCTTCCAAGAAAGCTGGAGAGAAGAAGAGGTAATTATCCTTCCCTTTTCTTTCGTTATTGGATTCCATTATTTTTACTTTTTTCCAATCATTTTATCGTGACTGAAAGTGACTTTCGTAGATGGGGAGCCAAGAAGATCACTTTGGAAAAGAGAAAGGAGCGCATTGAAGAGAAGAAAGCCCTATTGCTGCAGCTGAAAGCACAACAGGAAGCGATGTAAACCCCCCTCAATATGTTATATAATGATAAATTGTTGTTGTTGTTATAAGATTTTTCTACGATGTTGCATGCACATGTGGATGAAAAGATCTAGTGATGTTTTTGATTTTTTCACCTACCATTTCAATAATTGCTTCGGGATTTGGTTCGGGATTTGGAAGATCCGTGCGGAAAGTATAGGGAACAAATGACAGGGAAGTTAGCGTCAGATGGTAGGAATCAACATGGTTTTTTTTGTGGCTCAATGAAATTAAATTGTCTAGTTTGGGATACTGCTATCTTTGCGATTTTCATCGGTGTTCATTGAGTGAAAATAGGTTATTCTTAGTAGTTCTATTGGATTTATTGCAATATTTATACATACATCTCAAAATAATGTGTGTGCGGGCTATCAGCACATCACCAACACTTTTGCTCCCAATCATTGCAGAAATTTCAGCCATCCTTCAAATGTGCTATCCTTTATGATATCAGGTTCTCGCGATTTCTTAGGTGAAGTCTTCTTTGCAGTAGGGATAGCGATTTTCAAGGCTCTAGAGGGTATATATTAGTTTTCTCTTTGTAATGAAGAAACTGCTTACCTAAAACTGTTGTCTTCTTCCTCTAAAGGCATGTTGGGCTCAGGTGATTGTCGAATGGAAGTGGCGGAAGGGGAGGATTGTCGCGATGGTGGAGTTTCTTCTACAATCATAACCGTAAAAATTTATTTCTCAACAGTTTGATGGCATCGCACCTTCTTCAACTCTATCAGCTGTTGTTTCGACATTCCCAGCCAGGATCGTCTCATCTACTGAGTCACCAAAGATGTCGAATGGGACACTACTAACTTTAGTAATATCGTGATCGTCAGGTTGTGACTCGATTCTTGAAAAGCCTTTGAAGTAATCATCCGATTGAGTAAATTCTTGTCCATCAATGCTTTCGTTTGGTACAGAGGGTAGAGATACACTGAGATGTGCCCCTTCCTCTACCAAATTCGAAACCATGCTTTGACGCTTTTTCTTGTGGTAGGTCTTAGAGGAATCTTGCACTGAGTAGTTCGGCATA